GAAGCAATGTACATGTATTATTATCACCTGCATAAGGATTTAACATGTACATTTCCCAGTTGATTCGATACGAAAGCTCTCTTTGCAGACCATAACCTTACTGATGCAGCCGTCTTCTTTGCCAAAGTTTTCCCTTGAATCAAAGATTTATTATTTACATATGGAAGGAAAAATAAAATTTCCCTTTCTGCTATTCTTAAATTTCATTATACAGTTTCATTTACAAATTCTTCTGCAGGATTTTGATATGTGTTATTTCATTTTTGTCGAGAACAAGAGGGATAAAATTCCTATTTAGCAAAGGCTGCATTATTTTCAGTTCAGATGAGTTCATTTTTTCCAACTTTGACAAACATTGAATGCTGTAGACTAAATTTAGTGTTGTATGCTTTACTCATTTATCTTCAAATGAAACGTAGTAACGAGTATTTCGAGTGTTTAATTGTGGAGGAACTGGGGAATCTGAATTCCGTTCCATGGCTGTGCTTTGGGAAATTAGTCATCACAGAATGTCGGCGCTAAAAGTCCGAACGAATTCGTCATAGATGCAAATTCCATTTAAAATGATCAAATTTAAGACAAAACCTCATTATGAAATATAGCCTCGTACACATAAAATAATGCCAATATTTTTTGTTAATATAACATGTGTATTGGAATTAGTAACCCCAGTTCTTAAACAAGGTTAGACATTTAAACTGCAATCAGGATTATCTTTAAGAACTGGATCACACTGGCCTTGCAAAGTACAAAACAACGCTCTGTATAGTATAAGTAGAGGCGAATAACAAGTGCACTTACAGCGTATCCTGAATCTAGTAGGAAAAAACTTCAGCAATGCACTCCTGACAAATTGACTTTTCATTATATATTTGACTGGGCATTTCAATTAAAACAGCATTTTATCCTCATTTGTAAATAAGTAAACATGCACTTAAAGGCATGTTATGTTATTTAACAAAAAAAAATTTCAAGAAAAGAAATACATGTAGTCAGTTTATTGATGATTGAATGAATTGCAATAATATATATGTTCTTTAGTTCCAGTGGATTTTTCCAAGATGACTGAGCTTGTTTTTATTAAGGCAGGTGAAAACAACACTGGTATAAAAATGAATAAATTCAGTTGTCATTAAATGACGAAAACTTATATACAAATTTATACAATACAGGATTCATTCATAAACATGTAAAATTAATACTTATATTAATAATACATATAGTGCTTATTACAATCATGACCCATTTTATACACATGCATGAAAACTAAAAATTATACAAAATATATGCACATAAAAACAACAAATAGTGGACCAGGACTAGGAAGCTTATGCAACATATATACAAAAAAAATCAGGACAGGCAGGCAGGCAGGCTACTTAAAGATAAGTTAACGATACAAGGATATTCATAATCTCGTTTAATGTCAACATTTTTACGGTCGATACAATTAATTTGTTTACAATTTCAATTTATCGTTAAGTCGACTGCTGACTAACGTCTTTCATACGAATTGTTATGCCATTATTTTCACACTAAACTGTCTACATTTTTTTCTGTTTACCCAACCATGACAAAGAGCAAACAGCAGATGAGATAGGCTGACAGTGGATTCTTACTCCTTCATGACCCTTGATTCCACCTATAATGATTTGGAGGGCCGATTTGGTTCTTTGCCAAAATTGTATTGTTTCAATGGACTTTAATCATGATTGCAATTTATATTCACATTTCATGATAGACCTACCGTTCACGGTAGCTCAGTAGGTAGAGCGCTCGCTCCTTGTTCGGGAGGTTGTGAGTCCGAATCTCGGCCGCGACTGACCTAAGTAGATAAAAAATTTGGTAGCAACTATTTCTTCGCCATGCGCTCGGTTCTTTGAAGTGAAAGTTGCGTGTCCTTCGGATGAGACCTTAAAAACAGAGGCCCCGTGTCACGGCAGGCGTTTGCACAATAAAGATCCCTCACTCCTCAATGGCCCTGAGTGCCGAGTAAAGGTTCAAATTTGAAGCCCTTCACCGTTATATGGTGACGTCTCTCTATGATTGAAAAATTCTCGAACGGGACGTAAAACAACATACAATCAATCAATCATAATAGACCTCAACTATTTATATATACGTTTATAACATGTATGATACTATCATCAAAAAACTACTTGTCCACAAATAAGGCGGGTAGTCACAAAAAATTAGGTTTTTGTATTACTTGTCAATGTGGCACAACGACTTGTATAAGAATTATTAAAATCCCCGATAATGCAGGACTGATTTATGGTTCACGACCTTGATCATTATTCCCAAAATCTTAACATGTAATTATCGACCTTTGAAAATTGGTTTGAAAATCTTTGCTCAGATAACTGACTCAATTTTTCATTTTTCATAAAGATGAACGAGAAAAAGCGTACAGTTTCACTTAATGAAAAATCGACATCGTAATTCAAAACATATGATATTGGGAAAAAATAGAACTACTTCGTTATTTTAAACAGCTGATAAAGAATACTTCTTTGAAGCATAAATCTTCATGCAAATTCTCTATGAAATACGATAGAAGGGAAATATAAGTCGAACCAGTGTTAAGAATTGAAGGTCATGCTTTACTTAAAAGGACATACAAATATTAAATACAATTTCATTATTTTGGTGAGTTAAGAATTAACCCCTTAATACGTTGCATTATTTAATCCGCAATCGTTTAAAAATTAGAATTATTTAAAACAAAAATAGAGTGTGGTATTATAGACAATAGTTAATGCGCTAAAATTGTACATGTAGCGTTCTCAAATTGCAATGGACAAACTAATTTTAAACACCATTGTTGCATACAGTTGAATTCTGTATGCTATATACGTTTACTCATCTCTCTTCAGTTCTGACGTAGTAATGTTTTTAAATTGTTTGTGAAGTAATGGAAAACCTAGTACATACTTTTTCGAGACATTGCTTTGAACATAATCATAATCCGTTAAGCATAAATTATCCCGTTTCCAAACTCTCGTTGATGTCCCGGGCATACCAAATAAACTAGGCAGTGATTCCTTAAATTTACATTTATATGTGAAATTAAATTGTAAATATAAATAAAAAAAATGTTGCTTAATAGATTTGAAATACACGAGGCACCCTATATTACTTTCAATAGTCCTCGCCCACTGACGTCAGATACAAAGAGAGCCTCACGATTGACGATCATATTAGACTCCTGATCATGACCTTTCACTTGGCCAATTTACATTCAGGCGTAATTATCGAGAAATCAACTCATCCAACTTTCAAAGAGTTGTTACAGAGAAAACAATTACAAATGTAAATATTTGACTATTATGACCTCATTACTGTTGTCGTAGGATACATATCCTTGTTTACAGCACCAGTAGGAAGTGTACCAATGTTTAAGTTATTATTTAACAGTGCATTCTCAATTTTCTAAATTAGGTAGAACATTTAAACCGCCACAACGGCTATCTGATAGAATTAGAATTAAACCGGCCTTGCAAAGTATAGAACAACTTCGTACAATATATTCATAGGCGTAAAATATGTGTACTTAAAGTATCATTAACCTAACAGAAAAAAAACTGAATCAAATTTGAACCAAATGTTATATTACAATATTGATCGAATTCTTGTCAGAGTCATTAAAAAAACCCAGTATGAGTGTGATGTATATCTTTCTGCCATTATATATATATATATATATATATATATATATATATATATATATATATATATATATATATATATATATATATATATATATATATATATATATATATATATATATATAACTAATGTCCAAATAACTGTATCTCACTTCCATTTTCAATGACCGTGAAGTGTAGAGCAGCGCCGCGAGAATTCCATCGGCATCAAAAGCAAGTTTTTTGACTTGCCTAGATAGCCGAGCGGTCTGGCGAGCCCCGGGCTGGGGCGGAAGTGGGTATCCTTATAAAAGTGAATTTCTTTGTGCTTATATATATATATATATATATATATATATATATATATATATATATATATATATATATATATATATATATATATATATATATATATATATATTAAAATTCGATAGTATAGGTAGGTTATCAATTACAATTAAATCCACACTTTGCGCTTTCGCCTTGAGGCTCTTCAGAGTGTAACAAAGTTTATAAAAACAATACAACTTGGTTGTTATGACGTCGTTATTGTGACTCACAAAGGCAGCAATATACATTTGCGCAGGTAAATGTCATTAGGGTGCCAAAAGTATAGCATTAAACACATGTACATTGTGATGAAATAGACTGCTACTTTTATGCTATAATGTTCAATTTACATTTAGTTTAGGTTTAAATAATTTTACAAAGTAATCTTCCTTGGCTCTCCGTAATTGTTAATTATTTTCTAGAACTTTATAAAATGGAAATATTAAAAAGTTTCCATTCGCACATAAATCAAAATGTTCACTGCAAAGCGTATTCCTGACAGAGTGGTCCCGTATTTGTTGTTTATAGACTCTTACACGGTCAGCTAGTTTGTTGCCGGTGTGTCCAATGTAGTTTTCCCCGCATGAAGTACAAGACATACAGTATATTAAATTTTTAGATTTGCATGACATATTCTCATGAACGGTAAATTTTTTACCACATTTAAAAGTAATCTTCTCTCCTGCGACATGAAAATTTGTCATTATGCTTTTCAAGTTGTAGTAAGCAAAGTAAAAAGATTATTAAGCCATGAGAAGATGATTCGCGTAAATTAAGGAACGAGAAGATGATTTGCGTTAATGTGCCCTTTTACTTCGCCTTTTTACATCTTTTTGAAGCCGTCTTGAATCTTCTCTCTATTATATACCTCGGATAATACAGATATGTGTAACACATCATTTCCAAAAAAATCCACTCATATTTTTTAATTGTATCGCAACAAACAACACAACGAAAAAGCAGAATTTACAATTTGAAAAGAGTACATGTACTTTCAAAAAAGAGAATAAATTCTCCGTGAAATATCAAAAAATTTGTGAGGAAATTTTTGCGTAATTTTCTTCATGAAATTCTTTCATTCTGTCATACAAATCATACATCATTTATCATTACTTTATTTTTTGCTCTCTCCCTTGTTTCTTTCTCTCTACCTCTCTTTTTCCTCACTTCTCATAACTCTAGGGTGAACGGTCATTACCAGGCTGAGAAATTTTGGAAGGTTTTTCAAAGTAAACATTTGCCTTAGAAAGATGAACAAAAATTAGGGGTAAAACATTCTTTTCTTTGATGTTCCTAATCCTTTTCTTGTTGCCGGGAAAATGCAAATCAAGGGCACTGTGGATAATCTTCAGTAAGTCTTTTCCAATTTGAAATCGGACGCCACATCTTTAAAGAAAACACAAATAATATAATTAATACTCATTTCATTTTAAAAGAGGCATAGAAAACTTGTCTACAATAATCTGCTGATTTACATGAATTACATGAATTTGGTTTTTAATGAAGGTTTTATTAAGTTTTTTTTCAACATGAAATATTAGACATCACATTTAAACTTACAAAGTGTAAAAGGAAAATTTGATTCACACCTGTGGTACACGTATATTGATGTATTAAGTTTATATTCATATTCTTGCATTTTTGGTTATCACTCTCAATATTCGTTCCCACTAATGATAGAATTTTGACATAACTATTTAATAAGGCGTACTTCTCCTTCTCTTTCCTTTTAACAAGTCCTCCACGGCAACTTTGGTTTTCTGATGAGTAGACTCGATCCTCACAACATTTTGGTTTTACTAATTTCCTCACAGAATTGACAACACCTAAAAGTAAAGTGTTTAAGAAAAGAAAGTATCTGACTTTCAATATCTCAAGCGACAAGAAATATAATATTGTTTACGAACCTTGACAACAAATTTTTCCTCTTCTGTCATAAAATTCATCTTTACAAATACTGTATTCAACTGGAACAATGGTGTTGTTTAAGCATTTATACATAGACGTGTAATGTAACGAAGTCCCATTGCAGCACTCAAAACGTCCCGATGAAAGACTGGTCCCGCACCAAACCGTTACTGTCATATAAAATGATATTTCACAATATTCAGTTTATTCATTATAATACATTGAAAAATGTGCTAAACGTTTTCAAAGCAATGGAATATATTTGCAGTCAGTCAATCAGATACATGAATATTTTAAAATATGGTATATTTGATGCAACCACAATTGAAATGCATTTTAACTACTATTGAAATAGTAATTTCAATTGTGAACGCTAGTTCATTAGTGGTTGAAACATAAATTTACAAACAGAAACTGTGTCGACAGAAATTTACTAAAGTAATTTGTAGTAAACTGTAGTACATACTCTTGTACTTTGCTATACCAATAAATTTTGATTCTCTAATACATTTATTTCCTACGATACTTTGACAATTTACTATGACACTTTGATTTACGATGAAACTTTACTCTTTTTGAGATACAGAGGATTTCTATCTCTCAAACTGCATTCAAATGTAAGTGATTTTAGAAAAAAAAATATAAATGAATACGAAAAATGTTTCCTTTTAAACTGAATAAAAATGCATTTGGGAATTGAAATATAACATCAGGAATTGAATAGTAAAAGTACTTTATTTCACAATAGTAAAAGGTTTAAATTAACAAAATGTACACATTTGTAAGATATAGAGCTAGGCTTTCCTGCACTATACAAAAGTAGATGACTAATTTTTTCAAACAATTAAGGAATGATTTATTACATCTTAAGCATGGTAACAGGTTCATACGCCCCGATTACATGTTCGCTCTGAGTGGTTTCGCGGCAAGTGGTTTCGCCCCTATTATGTCTGTTACCTGAAATTAAAAGGCGTCAATTTTTTCCACGTGTGTATTTTGGCAGTTAGCTATGACAATTCTTTAATGTTTATGTTTGTGTTTTTTGCGTATGTGCTATGGAAAAGGTTTTTATTATATATATTTAAAGCGATCTACTCGGCACACCTATTTGATTAAGTTTTTAATGAAGTAAATTTACTTAGATCAAGCTTTGAAAAAAAGATTGAGATTGTTGGAATAAAATTGAAACGCTTAAACTAAACCTATATTTTACATGTTTTAACACAGATGAATTAAGTTGTTTTCCCCGTGTTCGTGACTTTTTAAAGAAATGTTCGTATCATAAATCTGTCGTGAAAATCAGACTGAAAATAATTCTTTATTAGTATTGATATGCAACTCAAAACTGAATTTAATTAAAGTGCTCAATAATTATATTAATCTAAACACTTATCAATCAAAAGACTTTTGCTTAAATAAACATCAAGCACACTGAAGAAAACCAATCGGGGCGAATCCACTCAGGGCAAACAGGGAAATGGCGCAAAACCTCACAGAGCGAACAGGTAATCGGGGCGAATGCGACACCACCCGCATTCGTAAGCATGGTAAAAAAAAAAACAAACGTAGTTAAAGTTATGTACAGACGTAGGGAGATATAATTTCGATTTGTAATGCAGGACAAATGCTAGCGACTACTGATGATAGTAAGTCACTATTGATGTGGTCAAATTTTACCAGAACAGCTATAACACTGTATAGAAAAACATGTGTATGTTTTGTAAAACAAACACAGCAATGCTTGCATGTAATGTAAATGAGTGGATTTTTTTTTTTTTTTTTTTGCTCTAAAAAACTTTTGTCTATCAATCATTCATCTAGAATTATAAAAAGATACATAAATTTAGACAATTTGCAAAATATCTGCGCAATCTGCAAAATAGAACATGTAATGATCTGAATTTCCATTAAACAATTTACAAAAGAAATTGGATAACTTACGATTTTTATCAGAAATCTTATTTCCAAAGCATATTTCCCCCGTTTCATTCACTTCACCGTCACAGCATAATTCTCCTTCTGGACCGACTGTCCGTTCTGTGTGCAGAAGAAAAAGGAAAATTGACATAGGTGACCATGCAGAACTGATAACAGCTCGGCCATCCTACTATATCTTTCCATCTCAGATATTATTGTCAAATACATACACCATGATTTTTATTCCGTCATGTGTATTCACCTTATTTTCTTCTATGAGCAGCTGTTCACTGCTGATCAAAGATATGTTTATGGCAACCATGTTGCCTGTTTTATTTAGTAGCATTATGCTATAAACAAAATGTAATGCTACCGCAGAAGAAGAGAGAAAAAACCAGCCCCCTATATCTTCCCTTTTCTTCACTAATAAAAATAAAAATGTACCGTACCCTATCACTTTGCATTATATATAATGAACTCCGCGCTTTTTTTTTTTTTTTTTTTTTAAATGCCTTTACTTTTTGTTTTATTAAAAGGTGAAAAAATATGCTAAGTGGAATATAATCAAATTTATCTGTGAATCTAGATCTTTGACGTCATATGTTGATGACGCATAGATTTCTTTAAGCCCAAGGTATCTTCTTTCTTCGAACACTATTTGTATTCTTTAACAAGGGTTCATAAGGCACCCATTGCAATCAGACACAGTTGCAGACAAAGGAAAATATAGTTTCAATAATTTTCAACTTTGCAATTATTGCAATTATTTTTCTGTAAAAAATATATTAAGATATAGCAACTGAAAAACTTGTATTGTGTAAATATCAGGGACTTGAAAAACATAGACCATATTTATCTGTAAATTTTTGTTTCCCATTTCTATGATTAGAAAATCGCCCGCGTGGCGCAGTGATTAGAGCGTCTGCTTTAGAGTTGCGGAGTAAGAAGTTGATCCTTACGTCGCGGGTTCGAATCCCACTGCGGGATGTGGAGACCAGTCCTTCGGATGAGGCCGTATAAACCGAGGTCCCATTTCACAATAGGTGCTGGCACGAAAAAGATCCCTCACTGCTCAAAGGCTCTGAATGCCGTGTATAGGTCAAATGTGTAGCCCTCCACCGGCAACTGGTGGCGTCTCCATATAAGTGAAAAATTCCCGAGAGGGACGTTAAACAACAAACAATCAATCTATCTATGATTAGAATATTGTGCTATGACTACACACAAGTGACACTTACCTGAAAATATAATAGTCATCCCCGTAATAAAATTTTGAATAAAAGCACAATAGCTGAATCAAACGTTCGCTTTCAGCTTAAAATCCTTAATCATTTTATACAAAAAAAATATGTTCATTTATCTTTTACCTGTATATAAGATTGAAATATGAACAAAATATTTTTGCGAACTTCAAACTTCAAAGAGGTGAAAACTCTTGCCTTCACAGCATTTCACTTCTCTTCGACGATGATACTTATCAAACACGCCTGATCTTGTGCAACAAATTTGTGTAGAATTATCAAATGTCTTTTCCAAAATTCTGCCATTCTCCTCGTACACACAACGGTCTTGGTTAATCACTGTAAAATGAGGATTTTAAAACTTTGCAAAAGAAAATCTTTGTCGTCATGCAGTGGCAGCTTATTCAGAATTGCAATAATACTCACCATAGCTGGAAGTTTCTTTTAAAACAAAGATGACGAAAAGCAAATCAAGAAATAATCTGCAGTCCATGTTTGCAGAGATTTGAAACTATAAGTGGTAAAGAAGGTTGTCAGGATATTTATTAGGTCTTGAATGACGTAAATATACATGGCAGACTAACAGGGGTCAACCAGCATTAACTCTTTTGGGAAATCCAATTTTTTTCAAAAATTCCATTCCTTTGAAATTCAATTTCTTTGTCTTATTTACATTATGGAAAAATATCGTTTATGTTTTGTATTCTATTATATTTAAGTTGGTCTTCGTCTGAACTGTGAATCAAATAAGAGTTGATAAGGTTACCCACTTTATATTTTTGTCAAGGCGTTTGTACCCGGATTAAATACCTAGCAGTTGAATGCATTGCTATGCTGTCAAACATGACTGTACATGACATTTTTGTTTTAGATGCATTTAAGCAGTGGTTTTATGAAAACAGTTTAATGAGTAATGTACTATAAATACAATTTTGAAGAAAATGGGGGGTCTTTCTCCCCAACTTAGATTTGATATAGGTTACTTTTGCAAATAAAAGGACAACTTGAGCATGACCTGCAGAACCCCTTAGGAGACATGAAGTAGATGTCACTGTATGATATGTATTATTTTATTGATAAACTGTTGATCAAATATACAATGAAAAGTTTCAAAATAAATGTTGAACTTGAAATACTCCTTTGTACTACAAATTACGAATGCCAGTAATTGTATGTGTCCTGGGCATTGTAGAAGTTACAAATTACAGACAATTTTCAATTATATTTTAATAAAGCCCCCTTTTTTACTTTTAAAAAGGGAATAATTACTCGTATGTGTATTTCATGAATTCATGCATAGGGTAATCAAATGCAGTTAGTCAATGCTGCCTATCGCTTATCTATTTTTCATTAAATATGTTAATATGATTTGAAAAAAAATATAAACGGAAAATAAACTTAAAACCAAAGAAAACTTTTAAATTATGTCAATTACCTTAATACTGTTTATTTGATCATTTTATTGAGATACTGGCATATAGCAGCATCAGATTTAAGATTCATCTTATATAGATTTCATCTTGAATGCCATCATTTAGGAAATAGCAAGTTAAGAAATAGTGGATACAGATATGTCTTTCACTATGAGTGATTTCTTTTGTTATACTCCTAAAGATGGACATCAATAAATTGAGCGATGGAAAAACAACCCAAAGTATCCAACGTCAGGCCTGCATATATATGACCTCTCCGCCGTTTGTTTTGAGACATGTACTTTACAAATAATTGCACAAAACATTTACGATTTGGCTTTTATGATATAACAATCCATGTGATTTAAATATCACAACTGACACAATAACCCACTGATAATATTATTCTCAAGGTCTTATACTCGGAACAAATACCATGCAGGGGATTACTTTGCACTTAGCGCATTGTCAACCTGTTTGAATTGAAAGTCTTGCACTAAGGAAAACATGCAAAGTTCTGTCAGTAAGGAAGACATAAAAAGTTCTGCCACTAAGGAAGACATCCAATCCCACTTCTAGTGTTACTTGGGTCTTAAATTTATTTCGTGAACAGATTATGATTTTATTGCAGTTTTTTCATCTACATGCATAAATACATGTATAAATATTGACGAGCTTCTAGAAAATATATTTTAATTTTTTTAGAATTTTATACACACATTTACAGAAGTAGGTAAAATCTTTTGGGAACCTTTTAGACTATTTATTTCGTGAAATTCAGTTCCAGGTTCTTTTTTTTTTCTAAATTCAAATTAGAATTGATTTCTGATATGAAAATGTTTGAAATGGCAGTAAATCTATTTCTGACCAATATACAATGTCAGTTATATTCCAAGCCAAATAATGAACATAAATAAGGTTTTTCATGGACGATGTTTGATCGTCTATGAAAACATTTTTTGTCATTCAGGTGTGGTTATTGTTGAATATATGTTTTTTTTTTTAACAATGAAGAGATAAAGATGATATTCTCAAGAAATCCGCTTTTCCTTTGACGTTTGAAGCATATAAGTAAAATTTAATCAATTTTAATTTTTTTTTTTAGTTTTTCTAAGTTTCTTTCAACAGAATTCTAAAATTTTGCTTAAAAAATGAAAATTTTAAATCTCTACTTATTTATTTGTTCTATAATTTCGAAAGTATTCGAGGCAATACAGATCATCATTTGTGCCAACTATAGTAAATGATTGGAATTCTATAGAGGTAGACACCAGAATTTCGAGCTCTTTTTCTGCTTTTAAAAATAAAATCGCCTAAAAAATAACAGTAGCTTCGCCTTTCTTCAAATTGTAAAAAGACGCTTACAATACTGCACACTAGACTTCGAAACAGTTGTGTGCTAAACGTTGATCTTCATAGGTGTAACATAATAACTAGTCTATAATGCCTTTGTGGAACATGTAAGGTAGAAGACACACATCATTTTTTTTCTCATGTTCTAAATACAATATGGCCAGGAACGAGTTTTTCGATAAACCCTTGAGATTTAATAAAATTCATATTGTTGACATTCATACTTTACTCTGGGAGGATACGTCACTCAGTAGTGCTGAAATGACATCAGAGGTGGGATCAGGTGCCATGGAGGAGTGAGCATCCCCTGCCGACCGGTCACACCCACCGTGTGCTCCTTGTCATGATCGGGAAATAACGGAAAAATCCGTCGACAATTCAGTGTGTAAATAGTGGCCTAACAATTAGTATGAAAAACGTCAGTCAGCATTTGACTCAATGATAAATTGTATTTGCTGACAAGGTCATTGTATCGACCATAGAACTTACGAAAGGATTACTTTAAACGAGACAGCTGATATTATTGTTTCATCAACTTGTTTGTCAATAATTTACCTCGTTTTAGAAATTGTACATACGTAGAGCATGTTCTTGCGGATCGAATCAACTGAGAGATATATACTCCGTATATGCAGGTGATGAAGGTATATTGCTGCATCAGTAAGGGAAGCTGACGATTGAAAAGTTAAAGTCATCACGTTTATCATAAAGCTTGGTTGTAAGATTACCATAAACGTCTTTTTCAAGTAAAATATCCAAATATGAAACAGATGTGTCAGACTCTGTGATTATCTCTTATTTATTGTACATTCTTGTATATAGCAATCTGTTAAATTTAATTGGTTATTCTTGTATTTAAAATGTGTATAGACAATAATCTATCAGTATATGATTCTATGTTGTTAGCTAATTTATTCTGTACAAACTGTTGGACATCTCTAATATTATTTTTTTGTGATATTGCATGTAGGGAGAGGAAGAATTAAGTTTTCAGAACTTTTGCTCAATCCCATTGTATATATATTTGTTGCAATAAAATATGTTCAAATCAACAATATCATATCATGGATAGATATTGCATGGTACTTATGAAGA